TGTTCCCTGGCCGCACCTCTCGGCTCGTCAAGGAAATAAATTGCCCATAAAGGCCTGGAAAGAAAGCCTATAGGGACTACGCAAGAAAATGTAGAGATTACAAGCCATAAACATGTTCAGTAGTCGAACCCTGCTAAACGGACATCGGCTCACATTGCGAATAGTTGACCTCACTTTACCGCAGTGCACTGTATATTATCATTTGCAGCGATTAAATGTTAATGATGTTATCACCAATGTAGTAGTATAATAACGTGACATGTTTAACAATTGTTTTTATTACTTACTGTGTTCGACTCTGGCAAAACTCCATGCGAGACACGACATATTTGAATTTGAATGAGCGTAAGGTTTATAGTTCAGTTTGAAATCAAGTTCCAAACATATAACACGTTAATTAAAGATTGTTCTGTTGCTTTTAATTGTATGTTTTAAAAGGGTGCGTTTCATTGGAAAAATCCAAGATTGAAGTTTAAATTCGAAAAACCGGATTTTTGCTTTTCTTTACTAAACAGTTTAATCCAAAATAACTCGGATCATGGTGCATCAAAGGAACCGAAGAATCCACTCTGGATTAGAATGCTGATACACCATGACCCGAGTGACCTTGGATTAATAATCTGTTTATTAAAGTAACACAAAATCCGTATTGGGATTTAGGAATCAAATCTTGGTTTTCCCAAACTAATGCACCATTAGTCTTTGCATCGAGTTTGTAACGTTTAATTTACTTTCCTGAAAGTACTGGAATTTTCAAAATGACCCGACTGCACAATGACGTCGAACGCTCACGACGATGTTCGAAACGTTTCCCGGGGAAAGTCCGATAAGTGTTTCGTCAATTGATATGGGCTAAACGCATCTCACTAGTTCTTGGTTACTTTTTTTTTCTTTTTTCAAAAGTGTGTCATCAAAAGGCTGTAACTGAGCTCAGTGTTCGTCTCAATGAGAGAGAATGGTCTCTAGCTATAGGCGTGAGCCGAAGGTAAGATGGAAGTTTCCGAACCAAAGGCGTGAGAGTCACGTTTTAGACGTGAGAGCTGGCAGGTAAGTACATGTGATCTGTGAACTTTAATCCAAAGAAACCAGCCGTCATGTTTTTGACAGTAAACAAAGAAAAATTGAATTGAACAGTGTTTGAGCTTTTCGCTAATATCACGCTGATCACGTAACTGAATGTACTGCATGTGATCTGTCAAATTAAGCACAAAGTAACCAATCGTTATGAAAACTGAACGCGTGTTAAGAGGAAGCGTGTTTCAACGGAGCTCTTATTCTACACTGAATCTATGCTGAATCTGTTCTGAAACCACTCCATCTGTTGTGTTTTGTCTAGACAAAAGTAACCAATCCAATCGCTTTCTGACAGATTAAAACAAGCCGAAGGAGAACGTATAAATACAAGGAATTCTCTCTCCTCTTGCAATCGGTTTTGATAACTTTGAAGGCAAGTTAGTCTGTAACACGGGTACACTGAGCTAGCAGAAATGCGAGACATCTTCTCTGTTTCCCTGATCGTCGTTTTTCTTTTGCTCTTCACACGAACGTACTCGAAGGAACTGCAGTCGAACGATTCGACTTCTACATGTAAGGTACGTATGGTGAAAGTGATTCCGTCACAAACTGAGGTTTTGTTCTAAGAGCTTGCTTTGTTCAACGGGAACTTACACTCGATGAGATACACCGATATAGATAGTATTATAGATATACTCAGATGCACTTTCTTTTGGTCAATTCTGTATTCCCACTCCACGTGATCCGTACATAATACTTTTAAGCATCCGCAAAATCAAACTTTTAATGAAAAGCTTATCTGTCAAGGCAGATATGGGACCTTTGTAATTCAGGAATAAGTGAAATCTTACATGTAGTAAGAGGTGACGAACAGTCGAATCCACCATAAATCGCCAGAAATGAAAATAATTGATCTGATGAAAGCATACACGAATTGCTAACGTTTACTGACCTCACAGTACACTACTTACTTGAGCAAGGGTGAAGATTCTGACGATTTACGCTAACATTTGTTGCAACAGCCGGATCCTCATTCTGGAATGCCAGGAATGCCCGGCGTGCCAGGAATACCGGGAACTCCGGGTGCTCCAGGTAGAGATGGCTTCAAAGGAGAGAAGGGCAGCATCGGAAAGCGGGGTTCGCAAGGTGCTATAGGAATCCCAGGGAAAATTGGACCACGGGGCCCTGAAGGATCCAAAGGGGAGGTGGGGAAGAAAGGAGAAATTGGTAAGATAGGAGCAAAAGGAAGTACGGGTATTCCTGGGAACATTGGTCCCAGGGGTTCAAAAGGATCCAAGGGAGAAAATGGCATCGGAGCAAAGGGAGAGAAGGGAGATGCAGCAAACATGGACCCAAGACAGAGAGCTAATTGGAAACAATGCGCATGGCGATCGTATACAAGTATTGACAACGGTAAAATAAAGGTAAGTGATCATATTAGGATCTACTTTTGTATTAAACTTTGTGGCTTACTGACTTTCGGTCTATGAGGAAGTAAAATTCCAGGGATCCAATTACAGGGGATCTTGCTCTTTTTCTATCTATCCCTCTTGATCGTTGTGTCAGTAGAGGTAGGAAGCTCTGGAAAAGCGTTTAATGCTTATTTCCGTGGTATATGATGGCTGGCGCTGAAAGGTAAAACCAAGTCAGATGTTCCAGCTCAATAAATAATAGGCCTACTCTGGGACCTTAAGTCGCCTAAAGTCGCCTTAAGTGGCCTCAAGTTGCTATCGGTTACGTAATGTTAAAAAGGTTTCAACACACTCAAATTGTCCCTGTGGAAGGTTATTAGACTTACTACTGTCATGTTAGGGTAAACTCCACTCTAGGCCTATGGAGGAGGAGGCACGACGGCCCAATGGTCGGTGGAATGGACCCCTATTTGGGAACATTGCATTGTGTTCATACTTTCATAGTGCCTCTTCTCACCCAGATGTGTAAATGGGTACTGGTTATGGAATAAAGGAGGGGAGGGGGGCAGGGTGCAGCAGAGGTTGCCTCAATAGGTGTGCTTTTACTTTTTTAAACAGTCATTCCCAATGCATTGGATCCATCTAAAACTCCCCTTAAAGGGCCCTAGTCAGCCAAACCTTTCTGTTAACATACAAGAGTTTGGCTTTTATGTTTTATTCGGAGCATGTCAAAGCAAAGAAAATCACTGTGAAGCTACTTAAGATAAAGAGGCATACTTTCAGGAACACAAATTACAGTAAAGCAAGAAGACTTCGCCTCACCATGCGATATCAATAATTTTGATGGCATCGAAAACAGCAGAGGCTGACTAGGGTCTTTTAAGAAGCTCTGGACCCGACAATTACTGTATTATCCCTCAAAGCCGTGGCTCCCTTATACATAAAAAACCTAATGTTATAATATTCCTGCACCTGTCTAGCCCCCATGTTAGCAGGAATAATTTCTACATGTAGACAATACTTAAATACTAATGACAATCTAATGTATACTTTCTCACACATGGCTTTTTATTTCTATTAAATTTTAATTTTTTTTTGTATTTCATTGTAAAAGAGTTAATATAAAAGGTGACACTCTGTGTTAAAATCAGGAAATATATTAAATATGGAAAGTTATAACAAATGACTATGCTGCAATAATATCATTTAAGCTTATGAATGTTTGTAAGATATTACTGAATCAAATCTTCCGAAGACCTACAATGTATAATAAATAAACAACAACAGTGAGAGGAGTTCCAGATCATCAAGATTAAAAGAAAAAAAAAAAAAAACACACAAAGATATTTTTGGGCTACGGCTCAATTCTCTCTAGTCACTTTTACACTGAGCAGTAAAAATATGGTCATCCAAAGTCAATTGAACCGAACTTAGTCTACGCTTTAAAAACTTTACTTACCCAGTGTAAAAGAGTGACAAAAGTGAGCCATTTCTCCAGCAAAAATCATTATTTACATTTTACTTCCACATTCGAATAACTGTAAACGTTTGAATTTCGTAATTGGACGAACCAACTTGCAGCATAATGTTTATCTATCCTTTTCGTACATTTGATGAAGCCAGATATTTACATCATCTTATACACTTTACGTGGACTAAGCTACTGTTACTATCGAATTAAAGCTAAGGTACAGAAAATTCTTTGTGATCAAGTCTCAGCAAAAATTGCCGTTGGTCGAATGTTTGGAACACGTGACTTAGTTTGGCCCCGTGACTAAAGTGTACGCGAGCTCATGCGAGTATGATTACTCCGACAGGCGTTTACAAAAAACAAGAAAGAAAAGAAATCGCCAAACAAATACTCTCCGAAATTTGAATACAGTAATTTATTATCGGTTGATTTGAAGCAAATCTACATGCGGGAACACTTAGCACAGGCTGTCTTGATGTCTCCTCTCTTTGAAGCATGGAAACCAGTTAGCTGCGCAAGGGTTACTGGGAGAATCAAAATGGCGGAGATCAGTGTGTCTGGTATCGATATGTCAATTTCTAGTATTTCGTTGTGAAAATGTCGTTCTGGGCATTTGCAATGTGTCAGGTGGAAACTAGTGAAAGCTTGGAAGGTGTATTTCCTGGTGGTCTGATCAATCGTGGTAGAACCTTCTAAAAGGATTCGATTCACTGTATAAACTGCCAGGGTCGTCAAAGGTTTCTGGAGCCTGACAAGTAGATGGTGAAGTTCTTACGAAGCGGGAGGAACTTAGCATGCGGTACTCATTATGGTATTGGAATATTTTGTCTGACTGAGGCAGGAGAGCAACAAATCGATTGGGTCCCTGAAAACGGTCACCCCAAAACGTAGACCATGCAGACTGCAGACTGCAGACCGCAGACCGAGCAGACGACGACCCTGCAGACTGTGCAGACTGAGTACTTTTTTTTTTCTTATTCTTGTTTTTGCATTTACTTTTGACTCGCATATTTTTTGGTTCTGTTCATCCACAGGCAACGCAAACTCGGTGGTATGTGACTGTTGATGTGTTATAGATTTTGCAAGGGAAACATCCGTACGTTTAGTCCTAAATATGCTTAAGCAAAGCTATTTTAAAATATAATGTAGAAATAAACTTCGCTTGTAATGTAATGTCACACGTAACATGTGCATTTTCCACTCTTGGTATACACAATGTAATTTTAAGTGGCTGTTGGAGTGTGACTTCGATTACGCCAAAAAAGCCTAGCGCATGGAAAGATCACAGAAAACCGAATAGCATCTGAAATTCTCAGCGCAGTACGGTTGCCGTGATGAGTTGATGCGATGGTTAATTTATCTGTCCCTATGGCAGTTTTGTTTTCATGGTGATTTAAACTGCGAGTGGTCCCTCTTTCGTTTAGTCCATCGTGTATGACGTATAAGAAAACCTCGAGGAAAAAATTTCATGCGAACATTTTTTTGTCGAGGTTTACTTACAGTCATGTTCAACTAGGCGAAAGAGGGAATACTCCTAGTCTAATGGCGATTTTGTGCTTTGTGAAGAAAAAGAAGCGATTTGTGGGACAAGGTTGCTTAATTAGAGTCACCGTCCTTGCTTTGTTTTATGAATCAGTTAAGAGGAGAACGAAGAGTAAGAAAATCGAAAAAAAAAACAACAACAACAACAATTTGGACAAAATAAATAAAACCGCAAACCCGTCAAAAATTAACGCTATTTGCGCCCAGAATGTATGGAAGTTTATTTTTATGCTTGATATTACTATATTTAGGACCAGTAAAGGGAATTTCCCATAGAAAGTCTATTAAACGCGTGAATCAACAGTCTGATGTTGAGTTTATGCCGCCTGTGGATAAATAACAAACATTAGGGCATATTGAACACTATTTTGTCATTAGAAGCGAAAAAAGTGAAAAAAGGAGCAAGGTAAGTCAGTTTTATTCACAGAAAATTAAATTTTAGGTATTTAAAGCAAACCCGTAAAGTACCCATACAAACCCTTGTAAATCGCATCTTTGTAACATAACACCGCTCGAAGGAAGAGTCACGTTCGCGTACGTTTCATTTACATTAATTATTTCCTCTCGCCTCGCGCTTGGGCAGCCTGTGGTTTAATTAGGCTTTGAACAACCCGGCCCTGGATATTTGAGACTGTGGTCAATTAATTATGTACCAATATTGGTACAATATTGGTTTATTGCAAGAGATACATGGAGAGACTGTTGCTAAGTTTAAATTTATATCACTCGAGTGAAATAAAGTCTCCTCAAGTCACCTAAAATCGCCTTAAGTCGCCTAAAATCGCCTTAAATCGCCTAAAGTGTTTTTTCTGTCCCAATTTTGCTAAGTCGCCTAAAGTCGCCTTAAGTTACAGCGACCTAAGGTCCCAGAGTAGGCCTAATAATACACAAACAGATGGCAACTCTCCCCGAGATGACGAGAAACAATAACTGCTTGTGTTCTAATTAAAAAATAGATTCCATGTTGCCGTGCGTGTCACTAAAATAATTATTTGTTTTGATTCTTGTCTTGTCCGTTTGATTTCTGAAATGATTTTTTGATTTCCAAAATTTCTTTTTTTTTTTATTTCGAAAATTTGTCCGTTTGATTTTTACAATTTTTTTCTTTTGATTTCCAAAATTCTCGAACAATGTACCCTAAGAGGAAAAAAAACTACTTTTTTAACCCCGCGGTTTCCTTTCACGTCACGAACGACGGAGGGACTACTCGTACACTCTCTTTGTTCATTTATAAGGATATTGTTTCTCCGGTTGAGGCTGAACATTTTTGTTTTTTGCCGATTTTATTCTGAAAGTATTCTTGGGAATATATATGGGTTATTGACCAAACGTGAGGTCAAGATGGCTCGATATTAGCTAAGTTAATTTTTTTTTGGCGTGTTTATGGACGTAGACGAGACGGAGTCGAGGTCCATAAACTCGCAAAAAAAAGAACAACGCCAATATCAGGCCATCTTGACCGAACAAGCTTGGTCAATAAGATATTTTATTGTTTGGCTTTCGAGAAAATTTTTCTTGCGGGATACGGTGGGTAGTCTCGAGCGGGCAAGATAGCTCCATCTTGCGCGCTCGGGTAGCCAATTAAAGCGCAGGATTTGGTCCATCTTGCTCGCTCACGGAGCTACCATATAATAAACTTAGATTATAGCGTATGACATTTCTTTTTTCGAATGTATTTAGTGTCTGGTCGTTGTTGAAGTAATTTTGTAGCCAGCCTGCGGGCATTAAGGCCTGATATGACGCATATAACTTCTTGCAGAAGTGTTATTAGCATCGAACATGCAACGAGTGTTTTTTTGGCTTTTTGGCTAGTTCTAGCAAGAATTTTATACGGTTTAGTTAAAAACGTATCATTGTATTGTGTTTACACATTTTCAACACAAAATTATATGCCTTTCAAAATCTCAGCCTCGAGTTTATTGTTAAAATATTTTTAATATTTCGCAAATTTCATATATGTTATTTGCCGGCTGGGAGGTCCGTGTGGTGAAAAACTGTGACCGAGGTCTTGAAAATGCTGCCCGAGGCCGCCGGCCGAGGGCAGCATTTTCAAGCCCGAGGTAAGCCGGCAAATAACATG